GCAAATAGAAAACGATGTTATTTATGTTTGTTAAAAAAGTCCTTTGAATCAGAGAGATTCAAAGTCCACCATAGGTTTGATATTTTGTGTTAGAAGATTGTATGATAGTCTTGGAGTGAGGTTGTACAAAGATCTAACATAGTGAAATCTTTCACTAAATATAGAGGGACTAGACCATCCTTACTTGAAAAGGAGAACCAAGATATATCATTATGTTCTTTATTATTTACGCACTTTTATTTTTATGCATGTATATTCATACGTTTATCATAATTCTTCCAGAAAAATAAAAGAATCAAAAAATTTGCAAAATAACGAGAAATATTCATAAAACCTAATTCACCCACATCTTAGGTTGTATTTTATACTCATAATTGACATAATAGTGTGTTAAGGTAACTTTTGTCCTTGATTTGGAAATAATGGTTTCTGCTAATCCTATTTTTGCAGATGGTGGCAACAACAGTAAACCCCCATGTTTCGTTAGTGAATATCATGACTTTTAGAAAATTCACATGTAAATTAATCTAGAAGCACAAGGAGGATAAATATGGGATGATGTTGAAAATGTTTCATTTGTTCCTACAATGATCATTAACAATGTAGAGAAAATATAGGTGAAAGGATCATTGAACAATGATGACAAGTAAAAAATGTTATTTGACAAAAAATTAAAGAATATTCTTACATCAGCACTAGGTATGGATGAATTCTTTCATGTATCTAATTGGAAAACAAAAAAATAAATTTGGGATAATTTAGAAGTAACTCATGAAGGAACGATAGAAGTAAAGAGATCACAACTAAACACTTTATCACAAGAATACAAGATGTTTAGAATGCAGCCCGAAGAAATAATTCTTGATTTGCAAAAGAGACTTTCACATTGGACCAATCATTCGATGGATCTTGGAAAAAAATTCACAAATGATGACTTGAATCTCAAAGTACCAAGATCGTTGACAAAATCAAGGCAACTAAATGTGACGATAATATAGAAAAAGAAAAGTCTATCCAAAATGTCTTATGTAGCATTGTCGGTAAACTTCAAGAACATGAGTTAGAATTTGAAAAGCTAGAAAAGCATGAAGATCAAGGAAAGAAAAACAAAAGTCTTACCTTAAAAATTAGAGTCAAAGACCATGACAGTAATCTAGAGGATGAATATCAATCCACTAGTGATGAAAATGATGCACTAATCAAGAAATTTAAAAAATTATTAAGAAAGGAAATGACAAAGAAAATATGTCAAAGAGAAGCACCAATTTCAAAAAGGAATGTTACTTTGTTTGAATGTGGAAAAAGAGGACATGTCAAAAGTGAATGACCTACACTTCTAAGGAACAAATTTAATAGCAAGAAGGATAAAAGGCCAAAGAAAATATATAAGCATGGGATAATAATGAGATGAGTTTATATTCAGATGAAGAACAACCAAATATGGTATTAATGACTTCACACCATTCTGATGATGAAGAAAATGAGGTTAGTGATTTTGAAATTAATGATAAACCTTCATACGATGAATTACGAAATACCTTCCATGAATTACATGAGAAATATTTGAATCTTTCTAGAAAATGTTCAAAACAAAATAAACTAATTTTATCTCTAGAATGCAAGGCTAATGACACTAATGTGTAACTAAAAAATGTTAGAAAATTTGTGTAATAAAAGTCAAGAGCATGAATCCAAAATGGTCGAACTTAACCAAATTTTAAAGAAATACGATAAATGTCAAATTGGTTCAGAAGATGTGCTAAGTAGACAAAGATATTATAATGACAAAAGTGGATTTAGCTTTTCTAATTTTGATAAATCAAACACACGTAAAACCATCTTTATCAAAGGTAGCACAACATTCAACAATGTGGAATCAAATAAAGTGCATGATGTAATTCATCCTAAAATATTTTATGATAGAAATAATTTGGATGTATATAAAAGTAATCATCTTTTTAGAGCTACATGTTTTTTATTGTAATAAAAAAAGTCATATTCGTAGTGATTGCTACGTAACAAACTATGGTGTTCTTTATGGTGAGTATGTATGGATAAGGAAGGGAACTAACTCAAGAGGACCTAAAGAATATTGAGTACTTAGAAACTACTATTAATTGTTTTTGTAAGTACTTAAAGATCATATGTTAATATTGTCGAATAAAGATTGTTTTTTCAAGACACGAGACCATATGATATGGTCGAAGTAAACTTTCTTTAGATTAAAGATGATTTGAAAATATCAACATTGATATCACTATTGACATCAAATCATTGTGAAGAAAATACGCATTTTTATATATGTTGTATCAATTCTCTTATATGTTATGTTTCTTTAGATTTTATTATTTTTCTTTTTTATAATGTCAAAAAAGAGGAGAAGAAAAACAATTGTTTTTGTTATTTTTCAGGATACCAGAGACAAAGGAATAAATAAAAAAATAAAAGTGGAGATATGAAAGATAGGAGAGATATACAAGATAGGGGAGAAATCAAGTGTCAAGCAAAAATTTCTCAAAATTTTGTCATTATAAAAAAAAAGAGACTGTGAAGAAGTTGTTCTTCATGTATCTTAATTTAGTGTTGATGAAGACAAAAGCTTATCATAGAAGAAATATTAAAGAAGATAGAGATTGAAATCAAGTATCAAAATTGGATAAGCTTTGGAAATCAAAAGATTGAATTATGAAAATTAAGATACAATGGCAATACATATGTATATAAGCTTTAGGTGCTCAAAATTTTTTGATATAATCTATTCTGTGTGTTACGCATTCATGCATGATTTTTCATTCAAAGCATAATTTTTAAAAGCCAAAATTTCAAATTTGTAAGGGAGTCAATCGATTGACCCCTATCAGGCAATCGATTGACATGATTTCCGTAAAAACGAAAAATTTGAAAAGCCAACTGAATCAATCGATTGACTCATCATGTAAACCGATTGAAATAGTACAAATTTTGATATTTTTAATGTTGGAATTAATTTAATCGATTGACATCCTAGGTCAATTGATTGACATTCTGAAACATTTAAAAAATTCAAAAACATTGCATATTTCTTCAATGCATATGATCGTGATACATTTTCCAAATCATTACAAATTCTCATGATCATTTTCCAAGCATTGTTATTCATTCGAAAAACATCTTGTGATGTATTTAAAACCAAAAAAAATCAGATTTCAAATCATCTCATTTAGTCAGAATTTTCAAACAATTCTTACTGTTTTTTCAAGTGTTTATACACAATATCATAGAAGCTTTTATTTCATAAATCTCATTCATTTGAGAAAAAGTTTCATAAACCATTGAGCACTATGAAATTTATGAAAAAGTTCCACAAATATATATTCTTGAATTGTTCATTAAATAGAAAATTAAATTTCCAAGATATTAGAAAGCATACAAAATGTCTGTATTCAATTTATCTATTTGCTGTAAGTTATTCACCAAATGTGTGGTGAAATTGTCGGTAAAGAAAGTGGTTGTACTTTCTACCAAGTGTTTGCAAATAGGAAGTTGTGTTCTTCCTCTTTGTTGAAAAATTTCCTTTGAATAGGGAGATTCAAAATCCACCATATATTTTGTATGGTGTGTTAGAAGATTGTAGGATAGTTTTTGTGTAAGGCTGCACAATTATCTAGTAGTGCAGTGAAATCCTTTAGGGGTGTGGAGGGACTTGACTACCCCTGTTTAGAAAGGGGAATCAGAATATATGTGTGTTTATTGTTTATGCACTTTTATTTTTATACAAGTTTATTCTTAAGTTCATCATAATTTTTTCGAAAAAATAAAAGAATCAAAACATCTACAAAATAACGAAAAAGAATCATAAAACCTAACGAGACATGCTAGGTTTGAATTTAAAAGGAACCTTGAAACTAGGTTTTAATATTCAACTGATGTGAATGAAAGGAGAACAAGTTTGATTGGCTATAATGATGTTGGTTGGTGTGGAGCAACCTGGTTATGTATTCTTATACAATGAGACATGCATTTCTTGGTGTACAAAAAAGCCGACAAGCAATGCATTGTCCTCTTGTGAGTCTAAATATATAAAGGTTCATTTGGCTCACTCAATTTGACTTGACTCTTTCTAAAAGAACTAAGGTGTGAAGTGCAAAAGCCTATGAATCTGATGATTAGTAACAAATTTGCAATAAGCTTGACCAAGAATCCAGTTTCACATGGAAAGAGCAAAAATATATTGAGACAAAACTTCACTTCATAAAGAAACAAGTGATGAAAGGCATGATGGAGGTCATACATTGCCCTACAAAAGAGAAATTGGCTAATGGCTTTATGAAAAGCTTTGAAGATTGAAAGGTTTGAATATTTGAAGAGTCAATTAGGACTTGTAAACATTTAGAATTAAGATAAGATAATGTAATAATTCTACATGAGGATTATAATTAACTAGGAGTTGGTTAGGTAATAAGTTAAGTTGGTTAGCTTGTGACTCAAGTAAGTTACTTGAATCACAAGCGACTATAAAACCAACCATCCATATGCCTTTCATGTAATGAAATGCATAAACTTGTGGAAAGCTTAAGCAAGAAACAATTTTTGAGCAATCTCTCTCTTTCTTGTTTTCTTATTTTACTAATTCAGTGTTACTTGCTTTGCAAGTAGCGGCTTTGCTGCACCATTAGAGTATAATTGCTAAGTGTACAGGAACAAAAAAAACATGGGTATATTATATTGAAAAACTCGAGCATGTTGTTTCAATACAAAACTCAAACTAATCCATCAACAATCAGCAAAGTCAGGGTATGACCATGAACGAGAGTATAAAACATTCATTCACAATGGCAAGTAGTTATTCATCAAGAATACAAGTGACGCAAATTACTATGATCACTTCCCTTATATCTTTGTGGGAATTTAATCATTTTTACTGTCAGTAATCTGCATTTTAATTTATAATTTACAAAAGAAAATAACATCAATAATTACCTAGTAGGATATACATCTGAGATTGAGAATGTAAATGCACCTCATTCTTCAGTAAGGAACCGTCCTGTAAAATTTTCCATCATAGAAAACTGCATATTCTCAGATGGTTTCCAATGACGTTTTCTTTGATTTATAAACCAATTGTTAATTTGCTTTTGGTCCAGCCCTGTTGTCTTGGCCAGATCAATCTTATCAGCTTCCTGGATAATCAAGTAAAACAATATTGCTCAATTTTTGAATGCTAGTATGGAAAACAAAACTCACCGGTGTACATAATAACCGAACAGTAGTAACAATGAAACATTTACCGTTGGGTATGGCCATTTGTAATGAACATTCCACCATTGAAGTAGTGTTTGTCTTGCTTCCTTTGGAAGCTTGCCCTTCTTTTTCTTCTTGGAAAACTCCAATTTTAATGTACCAATATGACTTCCAAACTTGCGTAAAAGTCTGTCTTTGAGCTCGCGATCCTCACTCTTTGATTGTCCATCTTGAACATCATCTCCAGTACTAAGATCTTCTTCTTCCGAAGATGCACCAGCATCATCTAGCCAAATACAGACAACATCGTAATCATTTAGATCAATGATACACAATGATAAAAATTAAAAAACATGAGTTGAAATGAAAATTAAAACGAGGATAAAAGAGCAACGGCAATATCAATATCAAAGTGAATAAATTAATATAAAAAACTTATATTGATGTTACATATACAAATAAACACCATTGATGAATTATATAACATAACAAAAATCAAATCGTTTTCCATTAAATATGTTCTACTCCATCAATCATACTACACTATAAATTTTTTTACAAAATAACTACATGAATTCAAAATAAAATTCTTTTTTTCTTTCTGTCAGTACTATGCTACTTAACAACTATCTTTAAGCCAGAGTTTGAAGAATTTTTCATGAAAAATAATGATAAATATACAAATATTCATTGTTTAGTCCTATATAATAATAATTAAAAACATCTAACTAATACGGAATTAATTTAGATTAACTGATGTACTAAATTTACTATTATAAACAAAGAATAAAAGTTTTAAAACTTTTATTTACTATTGAAAACAAAACACTTATCACTTTTAAACAATTGAATATCATTCATTATATTTTTCTTATTTATTCTTTAATTTAAAAATATGATAATTGAATGAATTTTTTCACTATATATATAAAAAGAATGTCAATATAGCAAATGTCACTTTGTTTAAATGATTATTATCATAAACTAAAAAAGTGTTTCAATATAAATTTTCACTTATGTTTAAATGAAATCTAAAAAAATAAGTATTCTTAAAAGAACTTATTAATTGTATAAAATTTATTGTTTTTCTTATAATAAATCATGATGAAGTCAAATATATTCACAAGCAATTAGAAATTTTAGTTGAAGTTATGTCCATTCAATTTTACTTTTGGTACCTTTGTGTCTATATACAATCCTTCCGATTCAAGTATATATACAAATACAATTTTATTTTTTTATATGTAATGTAATAATATTAAGAATAAAACTTATTTTTTTAGGTAAAAAATATAAAGGAACACATAATTTAAGACTATGTTTGAGTTTAGAGGGAATGGAAAGTTTTCGAAAAACAAATTTTTAAAAAAATATAAGTAAATATTTGATATTTTTTGAAAAAATAATTTGAATAGAACTATAAAATAGTATTTATTATTATTATTATATTTTTAATTTTCAGAATACTATAACAATATAAAAGATATTTAAAAAATTTATGTAAGTCTTCTAAAATCCTCTAAAACCCTCTTTCAATATAAATTTTGAGTTCTCTCAAATTAGAGGATTTTTTATGTTACAAAGAAACACAAACAAACCCTCTAAAAAACCCTCTCAACCAAACTCTATCTATTTTTTTCACCTAATCCTTTCTATTTTTTTAAGTGATGTAATACTTTTAAAAAAAATGTATTCAGCTATTACTATAGAAAATATGTACGTTGTAATTTCAAAATAATTTATTTATATAATTTTTCTTATGAAATTTATAAAACTCTTTTGAACAATATTCTTAAAACAAGAACATTATTTTAAAGACAAAAAAGTTAATATTTTCTTGAACATTAATTAATCTAGGGAGAAACTTTTGCCATTGATAATTTCTGAGCAGGTTATTTAAATGGCGAATAATGTTTGATTTGAGGGGTAGTAGCCCACGAGTAGCCATAAGTTGCTTCTGACACCCACCCAATCCGACAAGGATTTGACCGTCGCATGAGAGTACACTGTACACGTCAGATCACAGCAGACCTAAGTTGGAAAGAGAAAAGAAAGTGTAAAGAGAAAGAAAACATCAGTGTCAGTGCCTGGTTCCATCCATTGTCAATACTATGTCCCAATCCCAATCCAGAGAGACTCCAAGTTTACATTCATTCAAGCAAACTGTACGGCCATCGTCAACACCAATTTACCACCATCCTCAGGCCCCTCTTGTCTTAACTCCTCCCATTAAATTTGTTCTAGTTTATTTATTTCTTCACATTAAATTTTATGAGGTGAAGACCTTGTAGCATGCCAGTAGTGGCATGAGTACAAAATTGTTCCGAAAAACAAGAGAATATGATACTATCTTTTCTTTTCCAAAGAGGACCCTGTTTGTTTATATACAAAATAAGTAAAAGGAAATGCATTTGGAGAACGACAGGTGTTAGGGATCCTTCAATGATCTAAAGGTTAATGACAGAAGCTCTTAATGGGTCACAAAAGAACAAAATGTGGAAAATAGCAATAACAAAGCACTAAGACAAGGTAGGCCAGAGTGCGTGGGGAAGATATTCATGCCATTGAACGTTCTCTCAAACAAAAAGCTGCTACAGAAAACAGCTAAAACTCCGGGAGTGCATGTGAACGTTTTAATCACCCGCTGTATTCGGGATTTTTTTGTAAAAGGTTCTAATCACTATTCACCAGAATCACTTCTCCCTTATTAGTTTAATATATAAATATCAATTTGCCGTTTATTATACAGCTCCCTAAGTTTTCTTTCTTGTTTCATTCATGCTTTTTAACAGTCCAAGTTATCCTGAAGATCTTAGAATTAGTAGTATTATTATAGATGTCTAGAAATTTCATGGTTAGCATTTTGCTTTAACAACACATGTACATTAAATTGAAATCATGTTAACATCCCTTTTATCTATGCACACACCAGGACTTTCAATACCCTAGGGTTTGTTTAATTCATCAATTTCATCCTCTTGGAATAGACAATAATTTAAACAAGAGATAACACAAAAAGACAATCTGCATAGAATAAACCAGTCTATTATTCTTTATGATCTAAACACTAGATTATCTATTGTTTATAAGCACACAAAAAATGACAATTCATCCAATCACTTAATCATGACCAGTGCCCATTTGGGAATAACAGTAGGGAACATCCCATTTCACAATTCTACATGCCATTACTATGGACTCATAATAGAAAACAAATGGTAAGTTAGGATCTAAATTTTTGTGGATCTTACTATTGACTCGTAATAAAAAGCAAATGTATAGTTAAGACACTGCAGTAGTTCCCATTCAAGTGGAACAGAATGGCGTAATCTATTGCTCCAAAATTATTAGTCACTGTAAAAAGAATTGTCTACAATGAACTTCATAAATAATGAAATTGTAACTCTTTTTCTATTATTTTCTACTATTTATTATTTTTCTTCTATTATTAGTAAAAATAATTTTGGAAGGTAATATAGTTTATCTCTCATATAAAATTTATATTTTTTATTTATGTAAAGTGGACAAAACAATTTATAACTTACCCAAAAGTACTATATTGAGATGATAAGTGTCTCTTCCCTTTTAACTAAAGGTCCTAAGTTTAAACTCAAGCACTAGGAAGCAAAAATGTTAAATCTCTTATAAGAGAATTCTCTCCATATAGAGGATAGTCTATTTATGCCAAAAAAACAATTTATAATCTAAACCGGAAAGAATAATAAGATAAAAGGAAACAACAAATAAACTTCAATATTATCTTATAAATAAAACACCATGAATTTTTATTAAGGAGATTCCAACTAATATTGACACTACCAGCATTTAATGTTTATAATCATTAGCCTTAATCTCAAGCAAAGCTTTATATATGGCCCGGATGTAGTACACACTATTTTGTACTCTTCACATGCCTTCACTCATAAAGGAAAAGCAAGCACAACATGATTCACATTGAGGTAATTCCAGTTGTCATCATTTAAACTTAAAGAACATGAGCAGCCCAAGTTTCCAACAGTTACAATGCTGAATCTCTTTAGAGGCCTAGTGAACACTAAAATTCAACCATGTCATTCCAAGGATTCTAATATAAGACCTTCAAAACCGGATGACATCATTGAGAGATGTATACAACCATTTTTGAAGATTTAGAAATGGCATAAATTGAAAAACAAAGCATAAATGTGCTCATAGATCTGTTCAAGCACCTCTAAGTCTTTATGACAAAGTGTTGGTATTGTTAGTATTATGTTTGAGGAAGATCTAAATCACAACTTTTTCATCACTCCACACCCTAACTCACAACTTTTTCCGAATTCCCGCATTTAGGATATGAATGGTCATTATCAAGTTCAGACGGTCACATTTAAGTTTAGTATTTAAACTTTAAAATGAAAAGTAAAATTTGTTTTACTTCGAATCATCTAATCAAGATTAGACAATGCCTCATGATCGGAATATGTGAATGTGTATAATCTCGGTGCCGGTAGTGAAGCCAATTTCCAAATAAAACTTCTACCCCCTAAGCACCATGTTGTTGCAATAGAAGAACAACAAGAATAATAGAATGAATAAACTAGAAATAAAAGATTTTGAATCCTATCAAGAATTTGCTTTTGAAGCATAGATTAGAATTTATATTTGTAAAGGATGATGAAGGAGAATCCCTCTATGTAGCTGTACAAAGTCATTTATAAATTAAACCTCATGGCTAAAAACTGAAAAGGTAATTTGTACTTTCAAAACATAAACAACAATATTTTCCAACCATAACCAACCTACCTGACCATAGTGACTAGTGACCATGCTTTACAACATAAAATATTCTTTCAAATCTGATATACTACTATATTAATGTATCTTATGCCAGCTTTCCCAAATACTAGGTATGGGAATTGTAACAATATATATTCTAGAATGATAAAAACCAAAATGAAATCTAAAGAAATGAATCAGATATATAACCCATATTGAAGTTTTTATTATAAGAAATCTAATTACGAATTAGACAGACAATGAGAACGATTAAGATCTAAAAGAAGTAGCATGAAGATGTAAATCAACAATTCTATATTAACTATGTCCTTTAAATTTACTAGTCCTAGTAATTTAGTAATAACATAATGACATTGTTACTACTATAGTTTTGAGCTAATTGTTCTAAATTCCTATTTTACCAATTCAAAGCTGCTTTCCATTTAACTCATTTTAAGAAAATCTGACATTACTTTAGCTACAGACAGATTACCATCACCTTAGACAATTCCCAATGACCATTTTTTATGTACCAAACAGCATGGATCACTTGAGCTCTATTGGAACTTGATACACCATATAATTAATAATTAACAATTAATAAAGTATGAAAGCAGAATCATTCCAAGCCATTACTGTCAGATTATGTTGTGTTCATCTATTCCAAAATGGGGTGTTTTTGAAGGATATATTATATCTATCATAAGAAATTGCAATGTATTTCATGCAAATTAGGTTTTCTAGTGTTAAATTTGATATGAAAAATCATAATAGTAACAAATAAGTACAACTATTAGTATGTTCAAAGACAGTAAATCAGTGAGATCCTATCAAAATTTACAAGTACTTTAGAGGAAAATAAATACAAGTTTAATTTGAGAAGATTTGTTGGAGCAATAAGAAAGATGCAAATATATAAATGAATAATAGGTCACAATTTAAAAAAGAGTGTTTCAAGGCCAAACACTAACTTTGCACAACTATTTCTGCTGCACTCTACCACAACAATACAACAGGTTCAAGACAGATGATTATCACACAACAATTTGATTTTAACACACTCGTGACTAAAAATTAGTCTCAGCAGGAAGCAAATTAATTAAGATAGTACTACAAATATATAAAAAACAATATCAGCTTGAAAATATTCACTTCTGACATTAGTTTCTTTGAGTTACATAGGAAACACACTTGAAGTCATGCATTATTTAATGCGTTTTGGGTATGTCATGATTTATGAATAGAAACCAAGTTACAATGAATGAATTCTGTATAAAATTTTTGAGACTGACAGAAACTTAATCAGATTAAGCATGATACCTGTGTCTATGAGCTGGAAAGCATAAAAAATTAAAACTATATAAAGAAATAAAAGAGGAAACAATTTGATAGGTGGCAGAAGAAGAAGCAAAGGCTCATTTAATTTAAGAATATGGAACGTCGTTCAGAAAATTACCATTTATTAATATTTGGTCAGTGTATAGAATCGAGGCCACAACATTTACAATGTCAAATTAAAAACTCCTTGTTGTTCATACTAAAAATTGAACAAAATTCACGAGAAGGAAGCAGATAGTAATAAAACAAAACAAAAACTGAAAACTATGAAAAAATGAAGTATGAGTGATGCAAACCACTCAAAACTTAAAACTCAATAGTCCAAACAAGACAAAAATCTCTAGCCTATAGAGGCTAGTAGTAATTAAAAAACCCGTGTAACTGAAAAAGTTGAAAGGCTTGAATGACCAAACAATACACACCCACACTTATCATTTTCTCCTTAACGAAAGAAAAATCAAACATAGATTACAGTCTAACAGTGAAAACTGAAAAAGCATTCCCCAAAACACAAGTTTACTGCACACACATAGAGAGAAAGTGATGTGGATGAATTAGGGTTAACCTTTTTCTTCTTTTGTTAATTATTTACCCTAATTTTCTTCGAAATCTGTGTACCATCCTAATTAACAGCATTATTTATATTCTCAAATCTCAATCATCAATAGATAAAGTTAAACTAAAAACTACTAATCCACAAGAGGATAAGAACCAAAGGAAAATCAAACAAAGCAACTATAGTAAACAATAATAGAAGCAAATAGCACAGTTATCAACAACATAGAGTTTCAAATTTCGAAACTAAACAATGAGTAATAGCTAGATAGAGAGATAACAAACCAGAAGGAGTTGGAACTGAAGCACCACCACCAGTGCAGAGATGACTGAGTTGCGTTTCGATCTTGTTGAGAAACGTCTTAGCTTCATCAAAAGGACGAGTAAGGTCTGATTTATACCTCACAAGCATATCACAGTAAGTTTCCTGAAAAACAAAAAACCAAAAGAAAAATCAATGAATGAATAAATAAGTAAATTAATCACCACATGATAATCTCAAACTCTCAATCAATGACAAAAGTTTTATTTATTTATCAAATATTTGCGTGCGTGCGTGCGGAAAAAAGACGGTGTGGAAGAACAAACAAAGAAAGAAAAGGAAGGGATTAAGGGGGGACCATAAATTCGTCAAGCTCGGGATCGGCTCCAAAACACGTGGAAACAACAACGTCTCTTTTACACTGATCATTCTCTCTACGAATTTCCTCCAACAAACGCGCTATTTCAGGTGGAGCACCAACCTACAATTATTCATCAATTTGTTACAAGTTTGTTATAAAAAATTATCATAACCGTTTTCAGTTACGGTTTCGTTTCTGGCTTAATTTATTAATTTAATTACCTTCTGACAATCGATGTAAGCTTGAAGGAGGCGAGGATAATAAGGATGAGAAGCGATTTTGGCTTTCATAACACTAGATGCCACGTCATCTTGAATTCCGGCGGAAGAAGGTTCCGCCGTGAAGATATCATCGGATCCGAACATTGGAATTCGGCCGGTAGATGAAGTGGACATGAGGAAGGTGTTGTAGTCCGTCGGGAAAATCAGATTCTCCGGTGTCATCAGTGTTTTGTCACCGTACTCCACCGTTGTAGGTACTCCGTACATTTCCTCCATGACCGAATTCAACGCTTAAACGCGCTTATGACACTGCTTCTTCTTCTTCTTCTTTCTGTTGCCAGAGATAGCCACTACTCTTCAAGAAAAAGATAAAGGTCACACACAATACAAATACTACTACTAGTTAAGTAATCAAAAATTCCATATCTTTTTTGTTACTATTAATATTTATTTTATATTTTATTTTGATTTTATTATAACAAAACGACGCACTCACTTGCATAATTCTATATTATTACAAGAACGTACTGTTTACTATGTGTATATGAAGAAAATTTTATCTAGTTTTATAACAATTTAATGAAGTTCAACTTTTCAAAGTACAAGCTAATTTTAGGTAATAGTAGTAGTAATAATAATAATAATATTTATAATAAATAAAGTTTAATTTGGTTTGGCTTGGTTTAGGTTGAAACTAGAGTTTGGACTTTAGCATTGAAGTTGAGAAGACTTGCCTCTTCAAGGGTCAAGTGCTTTCTAGCTTTCTTTTTCTTTCCATTTTTTTTTTGAATTTTTATATATATTGTTTAATTATTTAGTACTAGTGTATAAATTTTTTTAGAAAAAGAAAAATATAAGGTGGGTGCGTGCTTACAACACTTCCTAAATTATGGAAACATGGTTTGGGTTGTCTAGGTTAAACAATGCTACTTGGGGGTCAATAGGCGTCAACCCCTCCCTAACTTTGTGTATGAATTGTCACTTGTTAACATGTGTCTTATTCTATGCTTTTCAAAATAAAATAAAATATATTGTGAAACTAATTTAATTGATAGTTGTGTAGAAACATGATTACTCAAATTATTTATTTTTCAAATGGTGATATTTCAGCCATTAGATTATTGATAAAAATAACATGAATATGAATGGATGCTTATATGTGAGTTAAGATTCCTTCAATTTATTCATAAAATAAGCAAATTGGAGGGAGAAGATATTAAAAAAAAGTTAAAGAAGGAAGGTGCTTTGACATATATGGTCTGATTCCTGCTCAACCCCATCTAAGCTATTGACCTCTTGCACATATATGGAGAAAAAACAAGTACTATTATATTAAGTTTAATAAGCGTATTAGAATCATTCATATTCTTTCATAATCCACGGTAAAGTAAAGCACTTCCATTATCTTCTTCTATAGCCTGGAAATATGTTATAGGTTCAGCAATCTATAAGTTAATAAATATTAGATTTTTTTTGACAGAAATATTAGATTTGTTTTTGACAAATTTTGGCAATATTAGGTTGGAAATTTTGGCAATATAGTGTTTGGTTATTAGGAAATAAATATTTTAAAATTATAATTAAAATTTAATTGAAATACTCTGACAATGTAAATCAGTTTTATACTATCACTGAATCACAATCGTTGAATTATTTAAAATATTTGACTTTGATTTTAATTTCTTTTTAAGTAATAACTGGTCATGATATACTGATAATATAAAAATATTTACATCCACAGCGCATAACAATTAAATATTAATGTTATTTTAAAATTTGAAAATACTTATTTATTTAAATAATATTTCTTTTACAATTAACTCACTTATTTTTAGGTATTTTAAAATGGAGAAAGTATTATACATGAATTTTATCTCCATTAGTCTTTTATTTCTTTAAAATATTTAAAAATACGTCTGATGACAAACTTTTATACAGACGAATAAGTTACCTAAAGAATTAAAAAGGTGCCTAAAATAGTGTATAACAACTACTAACTTGTCAAACTTATGTATTCTAAAGAAAATATCGTGAAGTTCTGTCTCTTTTAGCTCCAATTCAATATTAGGGAAGTGAACTGTGAGGATTTCAAAACATATATTATTCCTTCTAATGTTATGGTCGACATGATGCTGCTGACGATTGGAATCAAATCACAAGTTGCTTAAGAGATTCACTAATTAAACAATAAGAACATTGTATACGATTCTCTCATGCTTCTATGTTTCAATTTGCATAAAATCTAATCAATTTTATTACAATGTTGATAAACATATCTTTTTTTTAGACAACTATTATTTAATCATGTGTAAAAATATGATTAATTTAGTTAAATGGATTATTAATTAAATATAAGTGATAAAATATAAGTGATTTATATAGTTAAATTAATCATAATTTTAACTATGAATTGAAATAATTATCTATTTAATTAGTTGTTTTATTTTTGCAGATGTGACATTAATAATTAAGAGAAAAATATTATTTTTGATGACGTGATAATGATAACTAAGATAATTTATTGATAAATATTTTTCTTAAAATAAAATAATATTTATTAATTAATTTGTTTTCTCTCTTTTTTATTTTTGTTTAAAAAAGTCAAAATAAACTACTAATATATATCTTCCCGGCTCTTCTGCTTTTGTTTTTCATTTGTGCAAATTATCCACGTATTATTATTGTGATTTCATCTTCATACAAATGGATAGTGATTTTAAGTGGGTGAAATTTGGAGTGATAGTGTGATTCACTGGTCTTTTTTAAGTAAAGGATATTATAAAAAAATTATTAAAAATACTCTTGTCTGATTATAAACTTAAGGGAAAGAATTTAAAAAAAAAAAAGCGATGAAATTGCAATTTAAATCAAACTTAAACTTAATAATATAAAAGATTTTTATAAAATTCATAAAAAATATATTTGAAGAAAAGAATATTTCCGATGAAAGACAACTTCTAATCCAAGTGATACTTTTATTCAATGCACAAATCACAACAATATAGTATTTTATTACTTTCCAACTTTCTCTATGCTTCTGTCCAAACTATGGCTTTAGTTGTGTTGACTGATGCCGAGAAGGAGATTAACAATCATGTTGTCAAACAATGGCTTTGTGGTGCGTTTGAAGATGCAGTATCTGATGTAGAGGATATTGAAAATGTAATTTATTTAATGTCCACAATTCTCAATACTCTCTTTATTAGGGTCTTTTGGTATTTTCAATTTCTAGTATAAATATGCTACCTAGGCTATCAATATTGTATCCCAAATTCATTCCTCTATTTGAATACTAAGAAGTAGTCCTCTTTGTTATCATTCATTGTTCATTCTTTATCTCTTCTTCCATTACCTTGCACCAACAAGTTGGTATCAGAGCCTATCGATCAGACCATGGGCGTCCACCATTAATATCCACGCACCAAGCCCAAAAAGAAAAAGAGTGCTGGGCGTGAGGGGGGATGTTAGGAAGATCCTAAAGTCCCACAATGGTTGGAGATAGAGCATTGAAAGCGTTTATATAGAGTGACGCTCCTCACCTTTACAACCGGTTTTATAAGGTGAAGCTAAGTCAAACTCTAAGTTGGTAACAGATGGATGATACAAATGCGTGTATTGTTCAGTGCACAAGATGTTCTGGATCTGGTTACAGATGGTTATGTACCAGCTGCAGCAGATGCAACTGAAGAACAGAGAACTGCTGAGAGGTTGATGAGAAAGAGGGACCAGAAATCTCTGTTCTATATCCATCAGTGTGTGGATGAAAATGTGTTCGAGAAGATTGCTGATTCAACAATGTCTAAAGGGGCGTGGGATTTACTGACGAGATGTTACGGTGGTGACGCATCAGTAAAGAAGGTGAAGCTTCAATCCCTATGAAAGCAATATGAGAACCTGAACATGAAGAGCAGTGAGAAAGTTTCTGAATATATCTCCAGAGTGATTCTGATCACTAACGAGATGAAGGCGTATGGAGAAACTCTGACTGAACAGGTAATCATAGAGAAGATTCTGAGGTCGCTCACTCCTCAGTTTGATTACATTGTTGTTTCTATTGAACATTCTAAAGATCTGGAAACCATGAAAATAGAAGAATTACAAAGCAGCTTAGAAGCACAGGAGTTACGTCTGTCTGAGAGAACTTCTGAGAGAGAAGCTGAGCAAGCTCTGAAGGCCTCTTTTGTCAAAAAAGACCAGAAGCAGAATAGACGTGGTGATAGATTCCAGAAGTCAGAAGCCTCAACTTCTGATGATAAGAAGTTTCATACAGGAAAAGAGAGGTATGACAAAAGGAAGCTTCAATGTTACTCCTGTAAATAATTGGGCCATTTTGCCAGAGATTGTAGGTCAAACAGGGATAGGAAATCAGAAGAAGCATATATGGCTAAGAGAAACTCTGATGATGAACCTGTACTGCTAATGGCCTCTGACTCTGATGGAAAATACTCAGAAGATTTGTGGTATATGGACACTGGCTGCTCAAATCATTTAATTGGAAACAAACAATGGCTTACAGACTTTGACTCCAGAAGGAGTACAAAGATCAGATGCGCTGACGATAAGTATCTTAATGCAGAAGGTATGGGAGATGTCAGAATTAGAGTGACGAATGGGAAAGACATTCTGATCAAAGACGTATGGTATGTTCCTGGTATTAGAAGCAATCTGATGAGCGTAGGTCAGCTGATTGAGAAAGGCTTTTCAGTTGTTATGAAAAACAATCTTCTGACGTTGTATGATTCCAATCAGAAGTTAATTATGAAATCTGAACAAGGAGGCAACAGAACATTCAAGGTGAATGTAGAAACAGCTGAAGCAACGTGTCTTAGTGCAGAAGATGCTGAAAGTAATAGTAAGCTGTGGCATAAGAGGTTAGGGCACTTAAACTATAGAAGCTTAGGGCATCTATGTTCTAAGAAGCTCGTACGTGGTATTTCGAAAATGGTAAAGCCTGAGAAGTCATGTGAGATATGCATGAAAGGTAAGCAACCTAGATTGCCATTTACATCAGAAGTAGCCCCCAGAGCGAAACATGCTCTGGGAGTAGTACATTCTGATGTGTGTGGACCATTTCCAGTACCTTCACTTGGAGGAAACAATTACTTTGTGTCTTTTGTGGATGAGTTCACAAGAATGACATGGGTAACACTTATCAAGTTCAAGCATGAAGTGTTTACTGAGTTCCAGAAATTCAAGGTGAAGGCTGAGAAGCAGAGTGGTCAGAAGTTAAAAATTCTGAGAACAGATGGTGGAGGTGGGTATAACTCTAAAGTGTT